ATGACATCCTAATAACTAAATTAGAGCATTATAGTATATTGCATAGATTTGGTGACTTAATTAAATCTTATTTGAAGAGTATTTATCAAAGAGTAAAAATTAAGTTGTCATATGCTTCAATTTATGTTTCAACTTGGGTATTAGTTAAACATGGAGAGCTCCAAGGATCAATTCTTGGACCTGTTGTTGCTTTTATTTCATATAAATGATCTACCTCAGTTAATAAAAGGCCTTACCAATACTTTCTGCAGCTTTATAACATCAAATTCTGATTCAGTGATGGTGGACCAAGATGTTAAAGTAGTTCTGGAGATTACACAAAAATGATTTAACTCAAAATAGAATGCTATTAAATTATGACAAGACTAACCTTATGCAGTTCTTTCCAAATACTAGTCATCAGACTTCAGATACCACTGACTTCAATACTTATAAATTTAACTCTACTAACTCTATTACATTTTTAGGTATTATAATAGAATCTCCAGTAACATGGAAAGAACATATTGATTATATAAATTCAGAGTTAAATTTGCTAGGTTACACGGTTCATCCCCTCAGATCTGTATTAGGATTGAAAATTCTAAAATAGATCTACTTCTATTTTCATTCAGTGTTAAATTATGGTATCATGTTCTGGGGTAATTTGCTCCATATTAGATCTATTTTTATAACCCAGAAATGAATTGTAAGAATTATCATGAAAGCTAAAGCAAGGGATTCCTGTAGGGAAATGTTTAGTAAACTTAGAATTTTAACTCTTTACTCCCAATACATTTTTTAAACTCTTGTTTGCTGTAAAGCATAAGGATTTATTCACAACAAATACTGAATTGCATAAAATAAATACCTGCCAAAAACTGGACTTTTGCGTTCCTTTAGTAAGTCTAACTAAAATTCAAAAAGGAGTACATTATTCCAGTATTACATTATTTAACTCTCTACCTTTCAATATCAAGCAAGCTGCACATGACATTAATAAATTTGAACATAAACTGAGAAAGTTTCTTATAAAAAACTCTTTTTATTCTGTTGAAGAGTATCTTGATAAGAATAATAAATTTGATCTTGGGGTATCCAAGTAATTACAGCTTTGTATTTTAGTTTGCATTCATTAGTTTCTTATATATAGTGTGACATGTTGCGCAAAGGAGAACCCCCCCCACCAGCAGTGACGTCGCGGGTGAGTCAGTGCTCCCCTCCCCCTCCTCCGCACGGTAACGTTAACAGTGACGCAACAGGATCGTTACGGTAGTAACAGCGGTTACTACCGCTAGCGTTGCTAGCAACACAGCGCCAGGCAACAAGGGTGCTTATTATGTGGCCGTTTTCTGTATTGTCCGATCGAGGCTACATGAGGAGCAGCGAAGGCTATTCACAGTCAGTCCTCGAGCTACCACCGAGTTGTACTGAGTCAGCCAGTCAGTGCGTTACCAACGAGTTCTCAGTTCGCAAGTTACGAGCTACAGACGCGTGTGCGATAACCAGTGATAACCAGTTATATCTGGAGTGTGTAATTCAGGGAGACTTGTATAGCTCCCGCGTTATTAATACGTGAAGACTCTTGAAGATAGTGTTAAGAGATTTTGTTGTAGGGTTTGTAAAGTGTGGAAACCCGTAATATTGTGATAATTAATTGTAGCCGTTATTTGAAGNNAGGAAGAGATGGAGGAAAAGAGGAGAAAGAACAAATGGAGGCCAATAGGAGGAAAGACAAAGAGGATTTCCTGGCGAAATTAGACTCCTATCAAGAAAAGGCAGATAGCCTGATGACGAAATTAGCCGCCGACTTCAATGCCTGGCAGGAAGAGACGTTGGCCTGCCTAGTGGACACGATACCTGTGACAGCACAAGAAGAGGTTCCCATAGTGATACCGGTCGGAGTGACAATGACCTACCAAGAAATGGAGGCACGTCCAGAAGAAGAAGAGCCGACTTCAGCGAACAGGAAACCTGAGGCGGCAGAACTACGAGAGGTACCCGTACAAGACGCCGAACTAATGCCGGTCGGAGAACCGAAGAATAAAAGGCGCAGGGACCGTCATTGACGAAATATGAAGAATTCGACACGGGAAAGTTGTGGACCCCACAATAAATTGGCTGACGTCCCGCTCTGCAAGAGTGGCATGGCGCAAGAGGAACATCTTCAGGAAATCATCTACAGGAAGTCTTGGACCG